AAAAAGTAATGATAATAAATAAAAATTAAAATAATTCTTAAAAATATAGACTGTTATTCATATAGTATATAATATATATATATGTATCCATAATATAAACCTCCTCCACCCACTGCAGATATGAGAGTTTATTATAATATGGTTTCCAATGAGTTCAATTACATGCAAAACATAGTGAAATGTTTTACCTTAGAATAATTACATGTCATTAACTTGATTTTTATTCCGTCATAACACTTAGCAATTAATTATGTTTAATACATACCTAAATAATGTGTATTTGCCTTGTGAATCCAACTTGTTAATATATAGCTGAAGCATAGCTAAACCTTTTTTCCTCTAAAATGGAACAAATAATACTGTCACATAAAATGAATAGGATTAAATTATTAATCAAAGTTTCTTACTTTAACTCATTATTATTTAGTCCCAAATCTTTTACATACCAATGTCTCAATGGGGCAAAGTGTCATTACTTTGACTAAGCCCTAGAAATAAAAAGAAATTTAAGTTAATATGTGAATGGATGATACTATGGACAACCACATTATCAATAGTAGATACTGAGGGGACCAGCAGTTAGCATAATGGCTATGTCACTGGACTCCCACGTGGTCAACCACAGTTCGTGTCCCTGACCCGGTGGCTTAAACTCACGCTGGGCATGTGTGCGTGCGTGCCCAAGATCCCGAGAGGAGAACGGAGGAGAAGGGATTGCGGCATGGCCATCCCCCCTGGGGGTTGATTTCTTGCTTTCTGTCTGTCTCTGTCTGTCTGATGAGCACACACACCTTATAGCAAAAACCTCTTCAAAAAAAAAAAGTAGATACTAAAAATTTAGAAAAGTGAGGTTGTAGAAGATTGAAAAGTGACATACACTGTTTTTCCTTAAGCCACACATCCCACTATTACATTTATTAGGAAGCTAACTATAATTGATTTTATAAGTAATAATCAGTAAGGTGTTATGATTTTAAGAGTAAACAGTAATTTTCATTATGTCAAGAGTAGCAAAAAAAAATTAAACATGCAGAAATGTAATCCATTTATTAAAAATAAGCTTAATGTTGGGTCATCAGAAAAGTCATGATGTATATTTTTATTTTTCTATGTAAAAATGTGTCATGATTTTTCAGACCACCCAATATATTAACAAATGCCACCTTTTTCTATTTAAATATTAGGGAAGCCAATTTCTACACTGACATCTAAGGACCTGCTTGGATACCATAATTAATGAAGAATAACAAGCAAAATAAACCATAGGAGGGAACACCAAAATGTATATGTTAGTAAGGAATCAGTGCACGCCTCAGGTGGAGCCCTGAGTTACGAGCAAAGTAAAGGAACTTCATTTCCACAATCTCTACAGAAATGAGTGTTAAAGGAAAAGTTATGCTTTCCACTAGATGTTATGCCATCAACTATGATAGCTACTAATAGCTATTTCAGTTTAAACTTAATTTGAAATTTGGTTCCTTGTCACACTAGCCACATTTCAAGTATTCAGTGGAGCTAGTGGCTTTCATATTGTAGAGCACAGAGACTTGAGCACTTCCATCATCACAAAGTTCTATGAGACAACACTACATTAGAATTTGCAAAGGATATAGAGAGGAAAGTGGGAGAGAAGTCAGAAAAGACCTTCAGTATATTTAAGTTCAGCATAGGTACAGGACTGTTTTCAGACTAGAATACATTATTTATTTGTAATTTTGCTATAGGGCATGTGCACTTGGGTTTGGGAGCAGGTGCGCACAAAAGAGAGAGGGAAAGCACCTCCCGGGAGGGATGACCACTCTGCAATCCCTTCTCTCCCATTCTTCTCTCAAAATCTTGGGCATTAACACATAGGTGCCTGGTGTGTTTTTTAAGCCACTGGGTCTAGGACTTGAACCACACCACTAGCCATGTGGGATCTAGCTGCATTAACCACCATGCCACTAACTGGCCAAGTATATACTATATTTACCTGAGGTACAGTAAGAAAACTCTTGATTTCTAAGTACTGATAAGGTAGACTGTGGTCTTCTAGCCGTAATAAACCATTCTCCAGCAGATCCTATGGATTAAAATACGTGCAGAAACACATATGGTGAAGCCAACAGTTGACAGGACTGTATTTGAATTATAATAAAAGCAAACAAATCTTACCAATCCTTTGGAGAAAATAGACTCTTCTGTTCTGGAAGAGAATATTTAAGTTTATCAATAGGACTTTGTAAATTTTTAGAATCATTCTTCGTCTTAATATAAAAAAATTGAAATGTAAAAACTTTTTAAAGAGAAATTCTGTTGAAGAACTTAAAATTCTTAATCCATCTTTGATCTGTCTTTTCATTTGTCTACTGACATCCGAATCTGACTGAAATTAACCTACACAGGGTTTATTTGATCATAAATAGCATTAAGAACAAGTACTAAGAGATCAATTACACTGATAAAACATAAATTGTCCTGTAAAATCTTTTCAATTACTTTAACACAAAAAATAATTAAATGCTTTCTACTTGTGATAATACTTTAAAAAAATAAAAACAACAACAACAAAAAAACCCAAGCTCCAGGTAATTATTCTTACCATGCCAAGAAGTTAAAAGTGATATGTTTTTGGCTCAATAACTAAACAGTTTGGAAATCTCAAGAATATGGAACTTTGATTCAAAACAATATATTCATTATATGAATAACATAAACTAAGTAGAATGAAAAAATGTCAAGACATACACAATATAGCAAATTTAAAGAATCTGTAACTAATTGTGCCAAGAAACCCTTAGATTTCTGCTTGTAGGCCCAGGCTTTGGATATCTGCTATATCACAAAGCTGCTTTTACCTAGGAAGAGATGAGATTAATAAACTGTCACCAGTGAGGCCAGCAGATACGGTGTGATGGTTAAGGCACTGGATTCCCACATGGCAAACCACAGTTAAAGTCCTGACCCAGCAGCCTAAAAATCACACTGGATTTGTGTGTGTGCATGCCCAAAGTCCCAAGAGGAGAATGAAGGAGAAAGGATTGCCATGTGGCCAAAGTCCCCTCCGCTGCCCTCGGAGTGGGGAATGATTTCTCACTTTCTCTCTCTCCCCACAGTAAGTGCATGCACACTATGGCAAAAACCTGAAAAATAAAATAAAAAGATAAATAAACTGTCACTAATGTTCCTAGAGGACAGTACTCCAAAGAGATGAACAGGTTATAGTGTTAAAAACAAAGCACTTAGAATTCTGCAAAGTAGTTAAAAGTTCTGTGTGGAGAAATTATAAATATCTGCTATTTTGTAATTTTTTAAAGAGAAAATCCTGCATCTTAGTACCTAAAAAAAGCTACAATTGAGTGATATCACTGTCAATAATCAAGTTATAAAAGGTGGGATCAAGGCATTGCCTTCCTTTTACTGCAGTTCACAGACTGTGTCCATAAAGCAAAAATATGCATGAACTTCTTAGAAAAAGCTGCAGTGGGGTAGACATGTTTAATTTACCAACTTCTAAAGCAAGTGAAAAAAAACTCAGAAACAGTTAACTGGAAAGCTCCTCATAAGACAAAATAGTTTCGGGACCAGAAGTTAGCGTAATGGCTATGTCACTGGACTGTGGTTCGAGTCCCAGACCTGGTGGCTTAAACTCATGCCAGGTGCATGTGCGTACATGCCCAAGATCCCTAGAGGAGAATGGAGGAGAAGGGATTGTGGCGTGCCCATCCCCTCTGGGGGGTGATTTCTTGCATTCTCTCTCTCTCTTTCTGTCTTTCTGGCGAGTGCACGCGCCCTATAGCTAAAACCCCCCAAAAAAAAAAAAAAAAAAAAGACGAAATATTTTGAGTTTAAAATAAAAAACACTTTGTAAAACATCTTTTACTCATTTCTGTGTCCCTTATATTTATTTCACTGTTTTATAAAATAACCAATTAATTAATTTTGGCCAGGCAAAAAAGAAACTAGTCTGAACTGATCTTGATAAGGACTATTTTTACACTACTAGTTAATTATGATATGCTATCCAAATTATCTTACCTTTGCAAAAAGACTTCTATATGCCCCATATTTAACTGTAAAAGATACAATGGGCTAAAATAGAAACAAAACAACAAAATGATAAATACACACACACATATATGCACACATATACAGACATTTTTGGTAAGTTTATATCCATACTGACTGTTAAAGGTTCAATTGTGTCCCCCATCCCCACCCCACCAACAGGTCAGAGTCCTGACCTCCAGTACTTCAGAATAGGATCTTGTCTGGAGTTTGGGTTTCTAAAGAAGTAACCAACTGAAAGTGAGCTTATCAGGGTAGGGCCTAATCCAATATGACTGAATCTTTATTAAGAAGAGCAATTTGGACAAAGACATGCACACACACAGAATGCCATAGAAATCTGAGGGCAAACAAGGGAACTGCATCTATAAGCTAAAGAATATCAGAGATTAGGAAAAAACACCAGAAGCTAGAGAAAGGCAGGGGTAAGATTCTCTTTAAAAGCTCCCAGAAGGCACCAACCTCCTAATTTACAGAACTGAGCCAAGACATTTCTGTTATTTAACTCTCCAGTTTGTGACACTTTGTTACAGGAGCTGTTGTAAACTAACTAATACACATACATAAGCATTTTGGTGAGTGTGTGTGACACTCAGAAGCATACAGACTCTGGGGTCAGGCAGAACTATGTCTGAATACCACCTATGCCACTTAGTAGTTGTATGATATTGAGTAGGTATCTTAAGTTGGCTAAGCCTTTTATTTTCATCTGTAAAGTTAGATAATGCTCTATTTTATAGAGTTGTTATAAAGATTAGATAATGCATATGAAGCCATCAGCGTATTTCATACATGGTAAACATACAAATGGTAGCCATTATTGCAATACATACATACAAACTACCCCTAGGTATATTTATATCTGATATACAAACTTGCTCAAAGAAATATACCTACTGGGAACCAGCAGTTAGCGTAATGGCTATGTCGCTGGACTCCCAAGTAGTCGACCGTGGTTCGCGTCCCGGACCTGGTGGCTTAAAACTCACACTGGGCGCATGTGCGTGTGTGCCCAAGATCCCAGGAGGAGAATGGAGGAGAAAGGATTGCGGTGTGGCCATCCCCCCTGGGGGGTGATTTCTCGCTTTCTGTCTCTATGTCTCTCTCTGTCTGGCGAGCGCATGCACCCTATAGCAAAAACCTCTCCAAAAAGAAAAAAAAAAAAAAGTAGAAATATACCTACTACATGCAAGACAGATACATAATCCTTACTATCATGGTCCTTAAAATCCAGAAGATATTATATTATAAAGCTATATATCTATTTTAAGAATAATTTAGATAAACTTTATGGGAAAAGAATGACAAAGTCAAGGTAATTATAATAGGAGGATTCAACCTAAATTGGGCGGTAAGAGAAGAATTTGTTCAGAAAGTGAAATTTAAAAATATAAAGGACCTGGGAACCAGCAGTTAGCGTAATGGCTATGTCGCTGGACTCCCACATAGTCGACCGCGGTTCGTGTCCCGGACCCAGTGGCTTAAAACTCATGCCGGGCACGTGTGCGTGCGTGCCCAAGATCCCGAGAGGAGAATGGAGGAGAAGGGATTGCGGCATGACCATCCCCCCTGGGGGGTGATTTCTCGCTTTCTGTCTCTATGTCTCTCTCTGTCTGTCTGGCGAGCGCACTCGCCCTACAGTGAAAATCTCTCCAAAAAAAAACAAAACAAAACAAAACAAATATAAAGGACCTGTAGTAGGAAAGTTCATGACATATTTCAAGAAGCCAAAAGAAGATCTTTGTTATTGGAGCATAGTAAACAAGAGGAAAGATGGTTCGAGATGAATCAAGACAATCATTCAAGAACCCTGTCTCAGAGTCATGTAAATCCCATAGTCTTTATTCTCGGAGCAAGAAGCAGCTACTGAAGGGTTTTCAGTAAGGGACTTCTGAAGCGTCTCTTTCCAGTATATTGGCAATGTGTTAAAAGGGAGTGTGGATATTTTTAATGAATATAAATATCCACTAAAATTCAGAGATGATGATACCCATAGATTTCCTAGCCGGCTCTCTCCCTTATAGTCCAGGGTGGCCCCCAAAGCTTCAAAACCAACTCAGCTTAACACTTTCTGACTCTTGGCCCCACTTCTTCCTTACACCTACTTTAATACCCACATCGATCTATTACTTGAATATTGGCTCTAACAGATTATAGCCAGTATCATTTAGAACCAATAAAAATAGCTTTTGTTTATACAGTCACCCCTTGATACCCACAACGGATTGGCTCTGGAACCCACCAACCCCATACCATCCACCCTGCAGATCCTTAAGTTCTTTATATAATATTGCGGAGTATCTGTATATAATCTATGTACATCCTCTGTATACTTCAGATTGTATTGCTAGATTACTTATTCTACCTAATACAATTAAATGCTATATAAATAGCTGTTATACTGTTCTGTTTAGGGAATTATGACAAGAAAAAAGTCTGTGCATGTTCAGCGCAGACATAACAGGCTTAACTATTGGGTCGTCAGAAAAGTCAAGATGCATTTTTGCATAGAAAAACAGAAAAATACATCATGATTTTTCCAATGACCCATGCATAGCACACATCAGGAACAAAGTAACATTTTTGGTATGTGTAAGCTATTGAATGTGAAGATACGGAACCCACAGATAGGGAGGGCAAACAGTACAGTAATTAATTTATGTTTTAGGTTCTAACTTGATTTTTTAATTAAAAAATTTTTTTAGACATTTTTGCCATAGGGCCCACGCACTCACCAGAAAGAGACAAAAAGAGATTATGAGAGAGAAAATGAGAAATCACCTCCAGGGAGATGGCTAAACTGCAACCCCTTCTCCTCCATTTTCCTCCTGAAATTTTGGGCACACATGCACACACGCCCAGTGTGATTTTTTAAGTTGCCAGATCTGAGACTCCGACCACTGTTGGTCATGTGGGAGTCCAGCACCTTAACCACCATACCACCTGCTGGCCCTTAACTCTATTTTAAAAGTACATTATTATGTTGATATACTTAAATTGGACATTAGATAAATGATGGTTTGATGTTACTTTTAAAATACATGAATAGATCTGGCAGCTTGCTTTCTCCCTTTCCCTTTCTCTCTCTGTCTCTCTCTGGTCAAATTAAAAAATAATGATGACAAATGGAATTAAATAAATAATTCTATAAAAAAATACATGAATAAACCAAACATTAACTCTTACCTTAAAACCATTGGAAGTTGATCCATGCTAATGCCCTGTACGAACACTAGATATGCCAGAGAAGCCATAGAGTCTGCTAATTGTTTGTCTTCTTCTTCTTCAAATTCAAGGTAATCCCAAATCCTCTTTTTCCTTCCATGATTAAAAATCATTTTGGGGATAGGGTACCCAATCGCTGATAAAAAACCCTGTGGAATAGATTAAAAATAAAAAAAGCTGTAACAGATAGACTCCATGGGGTCTCCTAACCTCATCCTCACCCTGTACAGCCTCCTCTCCTTGAGTGTAGTTAGGACCCATAAGAGTTACTTCCTTCCCTAGCCCCCCCCCCCAAAAAAAAATCCACGTATTTATCTGTTGTGATTTCCAAATCACTGGGTCTGAGATTCAAACTGCAGTCTGCCATATGGGAATCTAGCACCTTAACCATCATGCCACCTGCTGGCCCCATGTGAGAGTTGCTTCTAACCAAGAGAACATGGCAAGATGTCACTCCCATATTATTAATCTAATATATTGCCAAAACAATGGGGTTTTTGCACATGTAATTAGGCTCTAATCAGTTGATTTTGAGTTATACAGAAGGGAGACTATCTTGGAAGGACTTGATTTAACTGAGTAGAGGGGTTTTTGTTTTTGTTTCTATCCAGAAATGTAGACACTTGCCAGGTAGACCTAGAGGGAGAAAGTAGCCCATAGTGGAGTATGGTCATGCCCTTTTCCATTTCTCCATCCTGTTGAGATTTTTGGCAAATATGCCTGGTGTGTTTTTTAAGCTGCCAGGACTGGACTCAAACCAGTCAGCCATGTGGGATCTGGCTTCCTTAACTATCAGACCATGGGGCCAGCTGGGCAGAAATTGTCTAAAGACAGCCAGGAAAGAGTTAGAAATGTTCCCTTGCAGGCTTTAAAGAACTAAACTGTGGGGCCCAGCAGGCTTTATGATAGTTAAGGTGCCAGACTTCCACATGGCAGACCACAGTTCGAGCACTGGCCCTGGTGGCTTGAAAATCGAACTGGATGTAGGTATGTATGTAACCAAAATCCCAAAGGGAGAATGAAGGAGAAGGGATTGTGGTGTGGCCATTCCCTGTGGGGGCTGACTTCTTACTTTTTTCTGTCCTCTCTCTGGCAAGTGCAAGTGCCCTATGACAAAACCTTATAAAAAAAAATGAAAGAAAAACTAAACTGCCATATTATCAGAGTCTAGGGAGAGGGCTAAGTGGCAAGGGACTACAGGCAGTCTCTAGAGGTTGCAAGTGGTACCTAGCTGACAGCCAGCAAGAAAATGGAGACCTTAGTCCTCTAGCTTCAAGGAGATGAACTGTCAACAACTTGAGGAAACACGGAAAAATCTCTCCCCAACTAAGTTTCTGGTAAGACTGCATGTCCATCCAACAGCTGGCCTGAATCCTGATAAGTCCCTAAGCATAGAACTCAGGTAAGCTGGCCGAATTCCTGATCCATAAAAATTGTGTGATAACAAAGATGTGTTGTTTTAAACTGCTCAGTTTGTGGGAATCTGTTACACAATAGTAGAAAACCAATATAGAAGGAAACACAAAATCATGTTTTATATAAACAATGTTTATATAATTAAAAGCACATATACAAATGAGTTTTATTGAAAGTCAAGTGACCTGACTGCTAGATGGAAGGTTCTGAGTGAGCAAAAGAAAATCATTTTATGTATATTAACAAAAAAAAGTTTAAGTGCTTCAAACATAGAGACAGAAAGTAGAATGGTGGTTGATGGGGAATAAGAGGAAGGGAGAATGGGAAGTTAGTGTTCAATGGGTACAAAATTTCAGGTGGGAAGATGAGAAAGTTCTAGAGATAGAAATGATGACTACGCAACAAAGTGAATGTACTAAATGCCACTGAACTATATGCTTAAAAATGGCTAAGTGGGGCCCAGCACATGGCGTAATGGTTACATTGCTGGACTCTCACATGGCTGACAATAGTTCAAATCTTGGACCTGGAAGCTTGAAACTCATGCTGGGCACATGTGCGTGCATGCCAAGGATCCTGAGAGAAGATAGGAGGAGAAGGGATTACAGTGTGGCCATCCCCTCTCGGGGGGTGATTTCTTACTTTCTGTCTCTCTGTCTCTCCGTTGAGCGCATACGTCCTAGAGCAAAAATCTCTCTAAGAAAAAAAAAAAGAAAGCTAAGAGGCCAAGTAGTGGTGCAGCAGTAACACAACTGGACCCACGCAGGAAAGGTCCTGGATTTAAGTCCCAAGACCTGAGATTACCAGGTACATGTGCACATGCCCATGATTTGGGCTGGCTGAGACTGGGGATAAGATCAGTGTAAAGACCTTGTTTGGGGTGCTCGTCTGTGTCTCTTTCAAGAAAGATATATTGGAGTGTCAGAAAAGTCATGACATTTTTTCCTGCAAAAATATGTCATGACTTTCCAACCTAATAAACAAAATTTTTAAAAAATGGTTAACATTTATATTATGTAAATTTTACTACATTTTTCAAAAAGTGCTTCAGAGATATTTGAGAGCAATCTAACAATATGAGACATACAAACATCATGAAGTCAGAATAAACCAACTACTCAGATGAAGACTACTCTAGGAACAATGTTTGGGCAACCCTATCTGCCCAGATACATAGTGGGCTGGAGGAATACTGGTCAGCAGCAGCAAGGCCTGAGGAAACAGTGGTGCTGTCTTGGGTCACATGAGTCCTCATGTCATAAGAGGAAGAGAAGCATACATATGTGAGTGGATAGGACCGTAGACTTAAAGTTTTATGTTCAAGATACACAGGTCACCTTTGTACCCCTTACACTATCTTCAGTTCTAATATTTTATAGAGTACTAGACTTTATTTCATTTTCCCCATAAACATGTCTTTTTTCCCCTCTAATAGTTTGGATTCCACTGGTCTATAAACATGCTCAGGCCTCCCCAAGTTCCTATTACTTTTCTACCCTTAACCTATGTCTTCTAGTTATTGCCTTTCTCTTTGCTTATTCATCACACTTTTTTCTCTAAGAGAGATTTTGCTACAGGGTGCATGCACTTGCTGGAGAGGCAGAGAGACAGAAAACGAGAAATCAACCTCCAGAGGGAACAGCCATGCCATAATCCTTTCTCCTCCATTCTCCTCTCGGGATCTTCGGCACACAGCCTCGGCATGAGTTTTAAGCCGCTGGGTCTGGGACTCAAACCATGGTCAACTATGTGGGAGTCCAGCAATGCAACCATAACACAATCTAATGCTGCCTCATCAGACCCTTTTTTTTTTTTTTTTTGAGAGGGTCTTTTGCTATAGGGCGCATGCACTCGCCAGACAGAGAGAGACATAGAGACAGAAAGCAAGAAATCACCCCCCAGGGGGGATGGTCACGCTGCAATCCCTTCTCCTCCATTCTCCTCTCGGGATCTTGGGCATGCACACACACGTGCCCGGTGTTGAGTTTTAAGCCACTGGGTCCGGGACGCGAACGGCGGTCGACTACATGGGAGTCCAGCGACATAGCCATTATGCTAACTGCTGGTTCCCTCTCATCAGACTCTTGAAGAAGAACTTATACCAGTCATCTTTTTCTCACTTTCCATTAATTCTTTTATTCATTCTATGCAGATTTTGTTTCTAATATTACAAACCGTTGTTGCTTAATTTATCAGTGCTATCACTTACTACATACAATGAATGCTTTTCTTTTTTTTTTGAGAGGTTTTTGCTATAGGGCGCATGCGCTCGCCAGACAGACAGAGAGAGACATAGAGACAGAAAGCGAGAAATCACCCCCCAGGGGTGACGGTCATGCCTCAATCCCTTCTCCTCCATTCTCCTCTCGGGATCTTGAGCACGCACACCCACACACCTGGCGTGAGTTTTAAGCCACCAGGTCTGGGACACGAACCGCAGTCGACTATGTGGGAGTCCAGCAACATAGCCATTACGCTAACTGCTGGTTCCTACATCCAATGAATGCTTTTTTAAAATTTACTTTATTCATGAAAGAGCGTACACATGCACATGTGAGAGACAGAGAGAAAATGAGGGAGATGAAAAAAGAGAGGAGAAAGAGGCACCCTTGATACAGTCTGGTCATGCCATGATCCCCTTCCTGCAGGCCTTCTTGTCTGCATTTAACAGCACCGATCACTTCTTTCTTTCTGAAACTACATTACCCTAGTTTCTAGGGTACATCTACCACCTTTCTTAATCTTCTTACTTGGTCTCTTTGCTGAGTTCATCTTTTATTTTCTTTTTTAGAGAGAGAGATTTTTGCACGTGTGAGAAAGAGAGAAAGAGACAGTGAGTAATCAACCCCTGGGGAGTTTGACCACTCAATCCCTTCTCCTCCATTCTCCTCTTGGGACTTTGGGCATGCACGCACATGCGTCTGGCATGAATTTTAAGTCACCAGGTCCAGGACTTGAACCGCGATCAATCATGTTAGTCTAGCGACATAACCATCATGCCATCTGCTGGTCCTGGTGAGCTCATCTTACTGATACTTTCTAGCCTGAACTGTATTCTCTTATACCCATCTATTTCTTTAGAAATCTCACTAACTCTTGGGACCAGCAGGAGGCATGGTGATTGGGGCACTAGACATTCCCACATGGCCAACCATGGTTCAAGTCCTGGACCTGGTGGCTTGCTTCCTCACTTCCCCTCTCTCGCTTGTCAAATTAAAATAAATGAATGAATAAATAAAATAAATAATTAAAGAAAAGAAATCTCACTCTTATTCAATAGTTTTTCTTTTAAAAACTGCCTGTGGCTATTAGATATTTATTAAGAAATTATTGTTAATCTTGGTAGGTGTCATAATGGCATAGTACTTATGTTTTTTAAAAAAGCCTGTATCATTAGAGAAGCATAAAGATTTATGGGTGAAATATGCCTGGGACTTAGATATTGTACTATAGCAAGAAAAGTGGGAGAAAAGATGAAACAGATGGGCAATATACCAAGCTATTGAAATTGGGTGACAAATACATGAGATTGTATTATATTGTTCTAGTTTTCTGTTTTAAAATTTTGTACTACATTGCTTAAAGCATACAACCCTCTGCTCCTTATTCTGTATTCTCTCAGTTATTGCTGCCTTCACGCACCCAGTTACCCTCCCCATTAAAAAAAAGCCCTTAGCCATGATACCTTTTACTATTTTAAATCCAATTAATGACTGAGTTTTGACAATTTACCTACTATGATGTTTCCAAGACCGAAATGTCACTTCTAAGAATTAAAAAGAATAATAGTAAAGTTGTATGCAAAGATTTAGTTATAAAGATACTTATCACAAGGGACTAGCAGATGGTGTAATGGTTAAGTTCCTAGACTCCCAAGTGGTTGACTGTGGTTTGAGTCCCAGACCCGGTGGCTTAAAACTCATGCCGGGTGCACATGCGTGCGTGCCTAAAATCCCGAGGAGAATGGAGGAGAAGGAACTGCAGCGTGGCCATCCCCTCAGGGGGCTATTTCTCGTTTTCTGTCTCTCTCTGTCTCTCCAGTGAGTACATGTGCACTATAACAAAAATCTCTTAAAAAAATAATAATATACTATCACAGACCTTGAAAAAAAAGTTAAGAGGCCTAGCTCGATGGTATAGTGGTAATGAGCTGGATCCCAGATGGTGATCATGGTTTAAATCCAAGGCCTGGTCAGCCTGAAACACACAGGGCACTCGTGTGTAAGAGTGCCTAAGATCTGATGGGCTAGAGGACTACAGGAAGAGGACTGAGGCAGGAACAGACTCTGTGTAGGGTGCTTTTCTCTCATGTGCATGCTCTATCAAGAATAAAGGAAAAAAACTTGGAAAAAATACCTCTTAAACTTAAAAAAAAAAAAAGTGGTATTATAGTAATAAAAAATGTGAGCTGGCCCTGAAGCCTAGTGGTTAAGGGACCTGGATCCCATACAGCCAATAAACAGTTCAAGTCCCAGTCCCAGCACCCTGAAAAACATACCAGGCATGTGTACATGTGTGACCAAACCAGACAGAATAGAGAAATGGACAAGGGACTATAGCATGATAACACCAGATTTGGAAGGGATACTTCGTCCTTCTCTCCCTCTTTGGTGGGCTCGTGCACCCTCTAGTAATTAAAAAAAAAAATTGAACTGTATGGAACAGGTTAAAAACATTGTGCTAAGTCCATAACATGGAAGACTATTAAGCCAATGGAAAAATATTCATCATGATATAATATTAAGAGAAAAAAGTATATTATAAAGATGGTGTAGTGGTTACATTGCTAGACTCCCACATAGTTGACCACAGTTAGAGTCCTGGGCCTGGCAGCTTAAAACTCATTCTGGGTGCATGTGGGTGCATGCCCAAATTTCTAAGAATGGGGGAAAAGGGATTGTGACGTGACCATCCTCCCTCAGTGGTGATTTTTCATTTTCTGTCTATCTCTCCAACAAGCACATGTGCATATAACAAATATCTCTTAAAAAACAAAAAAAGAGTATCTTTGAAAAATTTAACTACATGTATGTATGTATTTTCTTTTTTTAATTGCCAGAGGGTTGAAGTGCACATCAGAGAGAGAGATAGAAAGCATGTATCAGTGGGGTATGGTCATGGCACAATCCATTTACTACATTTCTCCATCCCATCAGGATTCTGGGCATTCATGCACATATGCCCAGTGTGTCTTTCAACACTGCCAGGGCCAGGATTCAAACTGCACTTGGCCGTATGGGATCTGGCTCTCAATGCTTAGTGCTTAACTACTGTGCTACAGGCCAGCACCTATATTTTCTTATTTACGAATATATAAACAGAAAGAAGTCTGAAAGGTGTTAACAATATTTTCTGGGACCAGCGGTTAGCGTAATGGCTATGTTGCTGAACTCCCACATAGCCGGCCACAATCATGTTGGAATTAACCCCTCACCACCTTCTCTTTAGAAGAAAATCCCTGAAAGCCAGAGAGCAAAACCATCCTGGCCTACCCCAAGCATTAGAGGGAACAATCATTCATAAATGAACTCATAAACGCGGAAGGCATTTTGCAAACTACAAAGCCTTATACCCCTCCCCACCACCAAAAACCCCCAAAAAAAAAAAAAAAAAAAAAACCAGTATTTTCCTTTGGGTAATGAAATTTTTGCTATTTCATTTTCCACCTTTTTGCTTATCTGTGTGCCACAAAAATATCCATATTGCTTTACTGATAAATATATCAACTCATGTGCCCATGTGCAGTATATGAGAATACAGCAGGATAACATTTTAAATTAGGGCCAGCTGGTGGTGTGGTGGTTAACGTGGCTGGATCTCACATGGCTGACTGCACAGTTTGAGTCCTAAATCTAGTAGCTTGAAAAACACTCCAGGTACATGTGTGTGTGTGTGTGTGTGTGTGCCCAAAATCTCCAAAGGAGGAAGAGGTGGAGGAGGACTGTGGTGTGATTATCCCCACCTGGGGGTGCATGAGTGTGCACTTGCACTCCTTTAATTCACTCTCTCTCTCTGGTGAGCATGTACAACCTTTGGCAAATTTTTTTTGTTATTGTTTTAAAGAAAATTTTGGTCATGTAACAGATTTTAGAAAGATTAGATTAGCTATACTTACTATTATTTCAGATGCAAAACACCTTAAAGGATCATTTCCAGCTTCTTCAGACTGTTCAAGAAATTGTGCTGTCAGCAAAGGGCATTTCAAGCTTTTCAAACAACTAAGGTATAAAAAATAGGTAACTATGAAATCAAAACTTCCCAAGTGTGAAAGGCCTGGTACTTCATATCTAAGTTAATTGTACATGAAAGATAACATAAGCACTGCCATGGTTTAAATGTTTATCCCCTCCAAAAATCATGTTGAAATTCAACTGCTATTGGAACAGCATTAAGAGGTGAGACACTTGAGAGGTGATGTGGACGTGAGGGCTACACCCTGATTGGTGGGATCAAGGCCATTACTCAAGGGCAAGTTTGGCTCCCTTTCGACTCTTTGCCCTTTCATCTTCTACCATCTGATGACACAGCAAGAAGGCCTTCACGGAATGCTAATGCCTTGATCTTGGACTACCCAACCTCTAGAACTGTGTGCCATTTTGTAATTCAGTTAAAAATTAGCCAGTCTAAGGTACTGTTATAGCAGTACAAGTGAATGAAGACAAGCACCAATAATTTAACTGATAATGTAATATCCTTCTTACTAAGGGGAGAACGTGAAAACATTTTGCCAAGCTCCCTGTGGTGAGTGAGATATGCTTCAGTTCTGGACTTTTCCACTGAATTCTAAATGTCTGTCTGAGGACAACTGATGGTCCTTGATGTAGTTTTCATTAATTAAGAAAAACTAGAACAATGTAGTTAATCTTTTCATAAAGTTTTATGTGGAAAACCAAATTTTAATCTGTGATTAAACCTCTTTCCTATTTCTTTAAAATCTCTCATGAAATAATTGATGTTATAAATGGTTTAATAAACAAAATAGGGGTTAGCAGGTGGCAGGGTGGTTATGATGCCGAATCCCACAGGGCTGACTGCATGGTTTGAGTCCCAAACCCGGCATCTTGAAAACATGCCAGATGTGTGTTCACGTGTGCCTAAAATCCCAAGAGAAATGGAAGAGAGGGGATTGTGGTGTGGCCATCCACCCTGGGAAATGACTTCTCACTTTCTCTCTCTCTCTGGTGAGCACACATGCCCTATAGCAAGAAACTTAAAAAAAAAAATAAGTAAATTCCCTAACATGGCTTTAGCCTCAAATAAAATAAATAATAATTGGTTCATGTAATTCAATAATCTAGTTCAGCACTAACAAATATAATGTAAGCCACATATATTAAGGTCTTTTAGTAGTTAAATGAAAATAGTAGTAAGAAATGAGAGAAATTAATTTTAATAATTATCTTTTTTTCTTTTCCTTTTAGTTTCGCTATAGGGTATGTGTGATTGCCAGGGACGGCGGGGGGGGGGGCGGGGAGTGAGAAAGTACCCCCCAGGGTGGTGGCCATGCTGCAATCCCTTCTCCTCCATTTTCCTTTCGGGATTTTGGGCAATATGCACATGTGTCCTGTGTGTTTTTCAAACTACTGTGACTTGAACTACACAGTCAGCCACATGGGATCCAACTGCTTTAACCACCATGCCACCTGTTTGGACCTTAATAATTACCTTAATCCCAACTGTGGATACCAGAGAAAGTGTGGGAGGAGGGTGGGAAATGGCAGAGGGTGAGTGGGAGGGAATCGAAGGGGAAAAAAGAAAGAAGTAAAATATATAAGAAACAAGAAATGGAAAATTATTTGTAGAAGATAACATGTATGGTAATATCTTTGAGCCAATATATAGTGTATTCTGTATGGGAAAACTCATTTTGTATGCTGCAATGAAATACAGTGAATGAATGTAAAATACATAAATTTAAAATAAAAAATTGGGGGCTGGCAGGTGGCATGGCGGTTAAGGGTGCTAGACTCCCACATGGCCAACCACAGTTCAAGTCTTGGACCTGGTGGCTTGCTTTCTCACTCTCTCTTTCTTACTCTGTCCTTCTCTGGTCAAATAAAAATAAAGTTAACTAATTCTTTTAAAAAATTAAAAATTAAAAATTAAAAAAAAACATTGTGTTATATATGTAAATACATATAATTTTATCTGTCAACTAAAAAAAATAACTGTCTTAATCCAATATATCTGAAATTATTTCAACATGTTAAAAAGTATAAAAAGTGAGGTAATTTACCTTAAAAAAAAAAGACCTTTCAAATCTAGTTATTTTATACTTAGAACACATCTTAATTTGGACTAGCCATAATGTCAAGTGCTTGACAGTCATATTGAATGAAGCATGTCTAGTCTATCATGCATCTGGAGTGAATGGAATTGGGTGGATGCTGTTCTGCTACTGTTTTTGTGGTCCAGCTGGATTCTGAACTGTCGGATGGTTCTACTGTTGCTTTCAATGGGAGAATAAAAACACAATTTCTCCTCAGAGAGAGCTCAGATCCCTGGACGTACATCTATCTACTTCCCCCATTTTCATTATTCATTTACTATGGTGAGTAAGGGGAGTATACAGAAAAGTATAAAATAACTTAAATAGATAGATTTTGGTTTTATAGTTTTTAAAAATATCAATGTCTCATTAAATGACAATGCTGTATCAGCTGAACCCATAGTCTTCTTTTTTATTTAATTATTTTACTTAACTTTACTCACCATAAATTTGACCAGAGAGGAACAGAGTGAGAGAGAGAAAGACAGGGAAAGTGAGAGAAAGCAACCCGCCAAATCTGGGACTCGAACCACGGTTGGCCATGTGGGAGTTCAATGCCCTTAACCACTACGCCACCTGCCTGCCCCCAAAGCCATAATTTTCTAAGAGCTGAAATCTGAACTAGATTTCTAACATGGAAAATAATACAAATAAATGTAAAATAACTTAATTATTAATTATTTAAGCCATCATGGGGTATTCTTAAATAGATACTTACAATTTTAGTAATTCATCCTTTAACTTTTCATTGTCTTTTTTTAGTGACTTTTCTTTGTCATCAATGACTTCTTCCACAAATGGTTGAGTAAATTCTATTAAGGCTTTGCAACACTGACAAAGGCCATAATCATCTGTTTGTATCTGCTCCTTTGAGTATGGAACAGGAAGTAGAGATAGCTGACTCCAAAGGGTAGACAGTGCTAACCCAACTGAATATGCCTTGTTGTTAGGAAGTTTCTGAATCACTAAAACAGAGACCAAGTTGTTACTTGAAAAAACCTCATCAAGTATGCAAAGTAATGAGACAGCTAATACATAATTACAAAATACCCACTATCCCCATTTTAACTACTCTGAAATCAGAATGATATATCATAGCTTAATTGGCAGTGTTTATTCCTTCTTAGTGGTATACTAAATAGCAATGCATTTATAAGCATGCTATCTTATCATAGATACCAGGAAATCTTGTGTAGGCATGTTCATAACCGATTATATATGTAGGACAAAAACACATTCTTCCCATATTATTTGATTATTATAAATATGAAATATGAGAGTATCATGTAAACTATAAAGTACTGTACAAATGGGAGGTATTATTCAATTTTTTCCTAGAAGATTTTTTAGTATTTGAAAGTGGTATGAGATTGGGGGGCATTCATATTTAATTTCTAATTCTGGAGGCCTCTATCCAATCTCTGAGATATATGTATTTCCTAAAATGAGAAAGAGCCTCTTTCCATGGATAAATACCATCTGCCTTAGTTACTAAGACCTATCACTTACTGCTACTGTGCTCAGCCATGGAGTCTTACCATTCTATACCTCCCAGCTTCATTCCTCCACAGTATCTTTACTATTCCCAACCCAACCTCTCAATGCAGAGGCCGAGCAATATCCTGCCTGATATATATATTTTCTAATTTTGTCAGAAGGTGTGCACACTCACTGGAAAGATACATAGAGAGGGAAATGAGAAAGTATACTCCATGTGGAATGGTTATACCACAATCCCTTCTCCTCCATTTTTCCCTCCCTTAGGGATTTTGGGCACACACACACACACAAGTACATGTGCCCAGAATGTTTTTCAAGACACCAGGTCTGGGACTTGACTGTGCAGTCAGCTATGTGGGATCCAGACACCTTAACCGCCACACCACGGGTCGCCCAGCTCTGTCTGATACTCTTAACCAAGATACAGAATTATCACACAGCTATCAGGCTGAGTACCTGAGACACAGTAGAGGTAATCTTTTAGGTAATCTTTTATCTGTGTTTAGCGGAAGAATGCTAGATATGATAATAAGGCTAGTTAAAAAAACTATAGGTTACTATAAAGCTCAAAAAAAAAAAAAAGTAGGAAAAATAGTAAGACATTCACAAAATATTTACTGAGTACCCAAACTATGCCAGGTATTGTCATCTTTCTATGAGTAGCAGGATTCAAACTGGCACTAGTAACATTAATTGCTACAGAATATTCAATCACAAACTTTACATTACTGTAGTGCTGACATTTGAGGTTAACATCAAGGTACTTACATATAAAACAAGAAATACTTTGATATAGAAATGTTCATTACCTGTTTGTAATGGCTGAAGTAGAAGAAGTATAACCTGGGATATCTGTTTTCCAGAAGGCTCTTCAATCAGTTCAAGCAAACCCAACAATAATTCCTTTGGTTTACATAACTATAAAAATATTCACAATTGAACCTGTTTAATACAAGTTGTATTTAAACATAACTATAAAATATTCACAGTTGAACCTACTTAATACAAGCTGTATTTATAGTCACAATCACTATTTTTAAGATAGCATATATTGAGAAAATATAATTCTCTTTGCTTAACAATGCAATGTCTCATACAATTAAAAAGAAAAAAAATGAAGTATTGACCAGCTGCAGAAGGGCATGCTGGATGCTACTGCACAGCAAGATGAGGTCATAAGAGACATCCAAGAATGATTCCTGGCCCACCCTAAAGAAACCAAGCTTGGCAGTGCACAACTGTAGTTACAGCCACTCAGGAGCCTGAGGCAAGAGGACTGCAACACTGTGAGACCTTGTCTGGAAAAACAAACAACAACAAAACACAATGCCCCCTCTACACACACATTCACACACAAATAAGTTTATATATGTGTGTGTGTGTGTGTGTGTGTGTGTGTGTGTGTGTGTATGTGTGTAAATCTATATCTACCAACAAACATAGAATCTGTGATGGACCAGCAGGTGGAGTGAAGGTTAAGGTGGCTAGATTCTACTATGTGGTTTGAGCCCTGGACCTGGTGGCTTGAAAAACATACTGGGCAAATTAGTACAAACATGTACCCAAAATCCTGAAAGGAGGGAGGAATAGAGAAGTGACTGCAGAGTGACCATCCCCCATGGGAGGTGTTTTCTCACTTTCTCTCCTGTCTGTCTCTCTCTGGCAAACACATGCACCCTCTGGCAAAATCTAAAATAAAAAAAAGAAAAAGGAGTCGACAGGTGGCATGGTGGTTAGGGTGGTGGACTCCCACGTGGCGCACTGCATTTCAAGTCCTGGACCTAGCAGCTTGCTTTCTCACTTATCTCTGTCTCTCTCTCTGTCCCTCTCTAGTCAAATTAAAATAAGTAAATAAATAAAGTTAAATAATTCCTTAAAAAAGAAGCCCACATTTTCAATAACTCATAAATCAATGGTGTTCTCTCTTTCTAAGTATATATTTGTGTACAGCTGCACTGCACCAATCTCCAAATGGTTTCTTATAATGTCTTTTTTCTCAGAATTTATCTTTGTTAGGCCTCACATTTTGACTTTCATTAATGACAGTGTGCAAACACACAGGGAGAGGAAAAAGGTAGGTATTTCTGGCAGGGTCTTACTATGTCACAATCCTCCTGCCCCAGATTTCCAGTCAGCTAGAACCATAGACTCAGGCCTCCGGTGCAGCCTTAGTCCTTCACACAGCAGAGATGTCCCAACTCATGCTACCGTAGAGGAGCCCATGTATCCGCTTCCCTCTGCTTACCTTTCACCAAGGGTCTGTTACTAAGGATGTTAGTTAAAACTGACCTGTGTTCTACTCCCTACTCCTATTCCCACTGTGACCACTTATATTATTGGTTTTTCATATTCTTTTAGGGAACACACCACAAAGAGAAGAGCACTGAGGTTTCATTCTAGTTCCACTGTTGTCACAAGATAGATCCGTGTCATTTGGAACTACTACTCTAAACCTTGAATTCCATATCTGTACGATAAGTCTACTTGTTAAAATACAGCTTCCCAGGTTACTTCCTGGCAATTCTTAATCAGTAGATCTGATTAAGATTAAATAATTCCTTTATCCAGAAAATTTTGGAAATGCTGAAATGAGTTGGCCATTCAGTCAACCGATTGGCCCTTTTCTGCAAAGTTACCTTCTGCATGTATTTTAACGGATTAAAAGTTTTCTTTCTTTTTTTTTTTTTACAGAGAAATTTTGCTATATAGGGTATGTGCACTCACCAGAGAGACAGAGAGAGACACAGAGACAGAAAGCAAGAAATCACCCCCCATGGGGCAAGGCCACGCTGCAGTCCCTTCTCCTCTATTCTCTCGGGATTTTGGGCATGCACACACACGTGCCCAATGTGTTTTAAGCTGCCCAGTCAGATACTCAAACTACGATCAACTACATGGGAGTCCAGCAATGTAACCATTATGTCATCTGCTGGTCCCATGAATTAAAAGTTTTCTCATCAAACAATAAGCACTGAATATCAAAGGGAATTGTAAAATAAAACTGTGTGTTACATCAAAGAGATCCTGGTCTTGTTAACTTACCTTTACCAAAAAATCAAGCATCAGCAAATAATCTTTCCGTTTATCATCTTCTTTATCATTCTGTAAAAGGTATCGAACAACAGGACCAACAAGATTCCAGCCCATACTCTCAATGATGACCTGCAGAGATATTTTTCAGACTAAAACACTGCCATCGATATAAGTCTCTTAGTGTGCTTTCCTAAGTTGGATGAGCTTAGAATTCTCTTGTAAATAGAAAAGATGAAGCAAATGATGTCCGTAACATTCCACCAGCATTGGCTGCTAACAGGTATCAACATTTTTTTTAAAAATTGCTTTTTGGAGAGATTTTTTGCTATAGGGCACATGTGCTCACTGGAGAAACAAAGAGATGAAGAGAGAGAAAGTGAAAAATCACCCTCTAGGGGGATGGCCAGGCCGCAATCCTCCTCCATTCTCCTCTTGGGATCCAGAGCATGCATGCACACACACCTATGATAGTTGTAGGCTGCGGCCAGCCATGTGTGAGTCCAGCACCCCGACCACTACACCACCTGCTGACTCCTTAAAATAGTTTTCAATACTTTCACTGAGGAAAAGCAAATAGATCTTTACTTTTGAGAAGATAAATTGGTCTTTCCCAGGATGTTAATGGTTCCTCTATTTCCAGCAACAGATCATTTGTTTAATATGAGGAAATACTTAACTTCTACAGAGAATTTTGCTCCTTGAGAATTTCTAAATATATTATAATTATTGTAATTTATATAAAAGGAGGGTATGTAACTTCCTTAATTTTCTCTTCTACAAACAATTTGCCTCTATTTTCAAAGATATTTCAGAATTCTTATTATACAAATAAAAGTTGTAATTTGTGACTCACATTCATTATCAAAGCCACTGATTTTTCAAAATTATCCATAATATACTCCACTTCTCTGGCCTACTTTGTACTTTAACTCATCAATATTTACCAAGCATGTGCCATAGATCCTTGGAGCTAGAAATAAAGTGAGGAAGACATAAAATAAGAGCTCTATCCTTATAGCATTTACATTCTGGACTCATTCTTAGAAAATCAGATCCAGGAAGAGAAAACTGCACAGGTAACACCTCGTTCTGACCACAGTTTCCTAAAAAAAGGCAGAGTACAAGGCACACAAAAAACGTCGTCTCCATCTGGAGAAAACAGGAGAGGCTCCCCAGAAGATATAATGGCTAACCTAAAGGTTGTTGAAGAAATAGAGACATGGGACCAGCAGTTATCATAATGGCTATGTCGCTGAACTCCCATGTAGTCAACCGCAGTTTGAGTCCTGGACCCGGTGGCTTAAACTCACGCCGGGCGCGTGTGCGTACCTGCCCAAGATTCCGAGAGGAGAATGAAGGAGAAGGGATTGCGGCGTGGCATCCCCCTGGGGGTGATTTCTTCCTTTCTGTCTCTCTGTCTCTCTTTGTCTTTCTGGCGAGCGCACACACCCTACAGCAAAAGCCTCTCCCCACCCCCCCCAAAAAAAAAAAAAAAAAAAAAAAAAAAAATTTTTTATATATAAATGAAAAAAAAAAAAAAAGAAACAGAGACATTTGTTAGCTATAGATAGGCAGAAAATATATTCAAGGCTCTGAAATAGGGATGTACAAAGGTATGAGACTAAACATGTCAAACTATCAATACGTCAGGGTATGTGAACAGGCAGTTCACAAAAGAAGAAATACTGTCTGTTCACATTGTTGCTCACTGATCAACTAAACATGTCATGTTTGTCAATTTGTATGCATTCCATTTCTGTTAACATTAACTTAGGTGTATTTGTGACAATTACTGGTTTTGTTTTTAATGTCTTTTTTTTTTAAGAGATTTTTGCTATAGGGCATATGCACTCACCAGAGAGAGACAGACAGAGAGTGAGAAATCACCCCCCCCCCAGGAGGTATGGCCATGCTGCAATCCCTTCTCCATTCTCTTCTTGGGATTTTGGGCACGCACGCACACACAACCAGTGTGAGTTTTAAGTCAACAGGTCCAGAACCTGAACGGCGGTTGACCACGTGGGAGTCCAGCAACATACCTATTACGCCATCTGCTGGTCCTGAATGTCCTTCATTTTATAATACCAAATAACATTTTTTTTTCCCTTTGGTCCCTCTTCTACTGCTTTTAGGCCTAAAACAAACTGCTCACCCTAGAGATTTATAAACATTCATTAATTTTTAAATTTCACTTTTCTTCTCATTCAGTAAAATTTGTTCGGGAACCAGTCATGGTGGCATGCAGGTAGTGCCACCTTCTGGGAGGCTGGAAGCATCATGGGAAGCCTGGGTTTAGTTCCCAGGTCAATGTGAACATGCCAGGTATGGTTACACACACCTGTGACCGGAACTATAACTGTGAAACACAGCAGAAGGATCACGGCACAGTGACGCCTTGTCAATAATACCTAACTCAGTCTCCTACTCTCTCTCTCGTCCATCCTATGAGGAAAAATAATTGTTTGGAATATGACGTAAAATAAAATCTCAGATTTTAGCAAAACAGGAGTCTAGCAGATGGTATAATGGTTACGTTGCTGGACTCCCACACAGTCTAATGCAGTTCAAGTCACTGCATGTATGCTTAAAATTCACACTAGGTGCATGTGCGTGCATGCCCAAATCCCACGAGGAGAAGGGACTGAGGTGTGGCCATCCCTCCTGGGGGTGATTTCCCACTCTCTGTCTGCCTCTCTCCAGTGAGCAAATGTGCTCTATACCAAAAATTTCTCTTAAAAAAAAAAAAGTAAAACAACCATGCTTTTTTACTTAATGGGATAGACAGTTCAGTTCGTCTCTCTGAATATTCTTTTGGTACAAACCATTTCTTGTGTCTGACATTCTTCTCCTGGATAGCCTCACAATTTATATCCTGCTTCCTTCAAATTTTTGTGTGACTTCACCCTCTCACTTACTATGCTCTATTTTCTTTATAGTACTTATCACTTTCTAACATGTTATGTATCATGTATGTATCTGTTTTCATTCATTAGAATTAAAGATCCACATGGGCAGTAATTTTTACTCAATGTTTTATCTAGTCCTAGCATCTACAGTTGAGACTGTTATAAAGCAGTGCTCAATAATACAGGTTGAATGATGTCTGTTACTTTTTTTCCCCGGGAAGACATGTATGTACACCAGAGAAAGACAGAGATGGAGAGGAGAAAGCATGCCCCCATGGGGAATGGTTACACCACAATGCCTTCTCCATCTCTCCCTCCTTCTGGGATTTTATGCACACACACACATGTGCCCAGCATGTTTCTCAAGTCCCTGGGTTTGGGACTTGAATAGTGTCAACCATGGGGGATCTGGCTGCCTTAAAACCAACCCACAGAGCCAGTCCATCTATTACTTTGAAATGTAACAAGTTATTCTCCTTTCTAAAGATTTGATATTCCTTTTTATTCTATTTTTTTGGTGGTTTATCTTTTAACACTTAACATTTTACTATCCAGGAATTTGTTATAAAGTTACTGTTTTTCCAAATTACTAAATATATGTCCCAACATTACTTTTTAAAAATTGTCTCTGCACTAGTCAGAGAGGGACAGAGAGAAAAGAGAGGGAGCAAGCATCCTCCAGTGGGGCACAGTCACACCGCAAATCCTTCTCCTCCATTTCTCCCTCTTGTCAGGATTTGGGGAACACATGCACATAGGATCAGTGTCAAGCCACCAGGTCTAGGACTTGAACCATCTGGTTGGCCATGTGGGATCCATCTCCCTTACCTATCAGGCCATGGGCTGGCCCAGTCTGGGGGAATTTTTGATTGTCATTATCATTACTGGGGGTAAGGTGGAATGCTACTAGTATCTAGTAGGCAGACATTAGAGATAATACTAAACTTCTTGCAATAAACAGAACAATCTCCCGCAATAAAGAATTGCCCTGTCCAAAGTACTGGGTTGTCAGAAAAGTCATGCTGCATTTTTACATAGAAAAAAATACATCATGACTTTCCCAACAACCCAATGTCAATATTGTCAAGATTGAAAAACACTATAGGCCTTAAGACAAATCGCTAGTCATATGCCTTTTTAAAAAAACACATAACACAAAGCAAATTAGCTATAAATCCTGATTAATCTTGACAGTGTCACGTGGCAAGTAAATTAAATTATAGTTAGCTTTAAATGTTGTCTTATCAATATCTGAACCCTTTCGTTTAGCAGACCACGTATTACAAAGGTGATTCTCAAGGTATTAAGACTAAGTCACACTTTACTTCTGTCTATCCAATTAGCTATTTAGAAGCATGCTAAAAATAAAACACTCTGGCATGCAATGCCTGAACAACTGAGTTCCACTTCCCTTCTCTCTCTGCCTCACTGATGTGGTGCTGATCATCATCTCTTGGCAGGCCTCTTCCTCTCAACCTGTTCCTTAAACTTCTCACTATAGTATCCTTGGCCTCATCTCCTCTACCCCTTTTCTGTGAACTCAAGCAAAATTTCCCTCCCTCAATGCTTCAGTTGCCTAATATTTAATAGTTACATACATGTTGGGCGTGTGTGTGCCCAAAATCCCAAGAGAAAGATGGAGAAGAGACTGCGGTGTGGCCATCCCTCCTTGGGGGTGATTTCATGCTGTTTCTCTCTGGTGAGCACATGCACCCTACAGCAAAACTCTCTCTAAAAACAATAAACAAACAAAAAAGTGTAAGGAAGTCCCCAAATCCAATCAAGGTGCTTTGGACAGACTCAGGCCACCATGACTAGATCATGACAAAGAAAATTCCTATACAAATAAATAGCACTATAATTGAAAAAAGAACCTGTTCTTAGAAAGAAAATGGTCTTCCTTATACTCAAGAAGTGGAGTCCAGGGCCAGCCTGTGGCATGGTGGTTAAGGTGGCTGAATCCCACATGGCTAACTGTGTGGTTGACTTCTGTACTTGGTGGCTTGAGAACATACTGGGTGCATGTGCATGTGTGTACAAAGGAGAAAGAAACTGAGAAGGGATTGTGGCATGACCGTTCCTCAGGGAGAGTGCTTCTTCACTTTCCCTCCCTGCCTCTCTCTTTCTCTGTCTCTAGCAAGCACATGTACTCTCTGGCAAATTAAAAAAAAAAAAAAAAAAAGGAAGAAGAGTCCAAGACAAAAATGTGACAGTGTGTATAAAAGCTGCATCTCTCGAAAACAGTTGTTCCTGGTCCACAAACAAGATCCTCTCCCATTGTATAGAATGATTTCCTGAATTACTGGATAACGATGATACTGGATAGTAAGGTCATCCAGCTTCCCCCTTGCTCTGATTTTATACACACAAAATATTGTTTTGCTTAAAATTTGGTTTTGTAGGGCCAGCAGGTGGCATAGTGGCTAAGGTGCTGGACTCCCATGTGTCCAACCCTGGTCCAAGTCCCAAACCTGGTGGCTTTCTTTGTCTTTTTCACTTTGGTCAATCTAAAAAATATTAATAATAAGTGAAATAAAATAAATAATTCTTGTTTTCTTTTTTAAGAGAGAATTTTGCTGTAGGGTATGTGTGCTTACCAAGAGACAGAAAGACAGAAAATGAAAAATCATACACCAGGTGGAGGGCCATGTCACATTGCCTTTTCCTTTAGTCTCCTCTTGAGATTCTGGGCACACACGCAAACTCACCTGGTGTGAATTTGAAGCCAGTAGGTCTGAGACTCAAACCATTGTTAACTACGCCAAAGTCCTACAATATAACCATTATGCCATCTGCTAGCCCCATGAAAAAATAATTCTTTTTTTTTTTTCCTCTTTTTTGGAGAGGTTTTTGCTATAGGGTACATACGCTCGCCAGAAAGAGAGAGACAGAGAGACAGAGAGAGAGAAATCTGCCTCCAGGGGGAGTGGCCATGCTGCAATCCCTTCTCCTCCATTCTCCTCTTGGGATCTTGGGCACGCAAGCACACGTGCCCGGCGGTGTGAGTTTAAGCCTCCGGGTCCAGGACTTGAACCACAGTTGACTACATGGGAGTCCAGCAACATAGCCATTATGCTAACTGCTGGTCTCAAATAAATAATTCTTTAAAAAAAAACAATCGGTTATGCATACAAATCTGGCTGAAGGAAAAGAATGGGTTTATTGCCAAAAATGAATATCTAGCCTGCCTGTATCTCTCAATGTAAATTAATGATTCAAATGCCACTTTTTGATCCTCTAAATAAGAAGTAATCCAAGTCCTTCTAAAGCCTTTTATTTACTGTAATGATAGCACTTATTCCATTTATTCTCACTCCTCATTGTTTACTAGTTGTTTAAATATTTATTTCTTCTACCAGACTATAGTACATAAATTTATTTCTTCCACCAGGCTATAGTATATGAATGTATTTATTTATTTCTTCCACCAGACTTAAAGTATATGAATTTTCCAAATTCCGTTTTTGACTTTCTACAATTTCCTACTATGGAAATTTAAGTTGATGCTTAATGTTTGATGAATAAATGATGGCATAATGTGATTTTCTTACCAAATAAGGACTGAAATGTAAACATGAAGGTTCTATTTACCTTATTATTTTCATTTTGAATAACTTCTAACAGCTGGTCTACATGTCCTTCTTCTATGCATCTTTGGCCTGCTACTTGAAATAGGCCAAAGTCTTCCTCTTTAAAATCTTGCTCTTCTAGGATTTGCTGGCAAAAAAAAGAAAAAAACCCACAAACAATAACTAAAATCATACACAAATACAAATTCAAAACAAAAACTTCTCAATTTATTTTCTCTCTGAAAAAAGAAAATTTTAGGCAATTTAAATTTTAGATAATTTGCACATAAATACATGTATGAAAATTAGGATTACCTTAATAAATAATCAATGATCCTATAATCCACTGTACCAAACAGGTCTCTTAAAAGGATCAGTATCTAAATTAAAAAGGTTATTAGACAAATGTGTCACCTGAAGAAATAATCTACCTGAGAAATAATCCCACCTGCCTTCCTGCCTTTATGCTATTTCAAGGTCAAAAAAAGCAGGGATTAAAGATGGTAAACAATAGAAGTGATCACAAATGTAGTTAATCTGCACCTTTCCCATATTTTAAAAGGTGTTTAATTTTACAAACAGAAAAAATATTTACTTACACATCTCTTTATTATGGATTGAAGTTCCTCCACAGCCATTCCTAGTTTTTTCCCCTCAGTTTCAATGCTGAAATGTATCAACAAAAAGAACAGTTAACTATTTGTGATATCACATTAAGTTTTCATAAGTGTTTCATTCTGATGAATTATTAGTAAACAAGAAAATGTAAAGCGAAATATACCAAACCTTAGTATGTTAGCTTAAGATAGTTTTAAAAGCCCCTTTTGTATCTATTCCTATTGCATCTTTTAAGTTTTCTGAGCATAGTTGTGAAAGAGATCTTTAAAAAAGAAACCTCCAGGGACCAGCAGTTAGCACAATGGCTATGTTGCTGGACTACCACGTAGTCGACCCCGGTTTGTGTCCCAGACTCGGTGGCTTAAAACTCACGCCGGATGCGTGTGCATGCATGCCCAAGATCCCGAGAGGAGTACGGAGGAGAAGGGATCTTGGTGTGTTCATCCTCTCTGGGGGGTGATTTCTCACTTTCTGTCTCTCTGTCTCTGTCTGGCGAGCGCACGCACCCTATAGCAAAAACCTCTCCAAAAAAATAATAATAATAAAAAAAGAAACCTCCAGAGTATTTCCAAAAGGCCAAGCAAATTACGTGCTAACAGGATTTAAAAAGGCAAAAAATTCCTTTTATGAGAAAATTTCCAAAAAGGTGGGCCTGAAATCCAAATTCTAATCATTTGAGGATTTAAAAAAAAAGTGTTAATGTCCTATTTAACAAAAAATGGGGTGCAACACAACTAAATCACCCAGTAGGTGAAGTCAGGCGCCCTCCACCCTAATTCCCTCTAGGAGTAGTAGTTTCCAAAGTAATCCAGACGGTGAAATCACAACACGGAGACAAGGCAATCGGCGGCCCTCAGAACACCGTTGCGCGACCGCAGACCACGGTACCTCGCGGAGAGGAAGGCTCGGCCCCAAACCCGGGGACAGCCGGGTCTTCAACGCAGGACGCTCCAAGGGTAACACCCCAGCGCGCGTGCGGGCGGCATCCAGAGGAAGCCATTTCTCCTAATTCCTACTTGCCTAGGCATTCGGGTCCCACAACTTCGCGGGGCCTGATCAGACCACCGTGCCGAATCTTCTCAGAAGCTCACCGCCAACAGGGAGCACCTGCTGCCCTACACCTCCTGGCGCGTCCACTTACCGACCAGATCTCGTCGCTCT